CCGGCCGCTGCGAACAGGGGCTGCTGATCCGGTGTGAGCCAGGACCGAGCAGTCCTGGATCACACTGGTCCGGGATCGCCCGGCTCTTACTACATTTTAAATGCAGAGCTGCAGTGTGGGTGGGTCTCACTGCGGCTCTGCAGAGCGGCTCCCTTTATCTACTAAGGATGTAGTCGATACAAAGTGTAACGACCGCACGATGAGCCGCTGCGAACAGGGGCTGCTGATCCGGTGTGAGCCAGGACCGAGCAGTCCTGGATCACACTGGTCCGGGATCGCCCGGCTCTTACTACATTTTAAATGCAGAGCTGCAGTGTGGGTGGGTCTCACTGCGGCTCTGCAGAGCGGCTCCCTTTATCTACTAAGGATGTAGTCGATACAAAGTGTAACGACCGCACGATGAGCCAAATAAGCGCTCCTTAACGTCCCTAATCTAGTCTAGAGCCAGGACACCTAGCTTTTCTTGCTTGCTTTGATGTGGACTTACTGCCCTTCCCCTCTAGCTGCTTCCCCTTCTTTCCTGTAGTTCACATTGTTTTGAAAAAAACTTTGAGATCCTTTGATGAATTCATTCATCCAAGTACAATTATATTATTCACTTAATTTACATCATGCCCTTAATGTTATAGCTGGATCACTGTGCAATGAACTGTGTGCTTGGTCTCTTCTTTTGGAAGTATTATAGTAACGTTTTCTCACCTTCTCACGGATTACATCAATGTACCATGGGAGTTTACTCTCTCTGGATCCCATTCGATGTTCATCTGGACCTACTCCTTCTGTGAAACTTTTCCATTTAGAGAGACCAGTGAGACTTTTACTGGGTAGGAGCTGGCCAGCTGCTGGGGGGAAATAGGCTAAAAGCAGAAAGAGCATTGATCTAAGTATCAACCAGAAAATTGGAAAAAACATATTTGTTCTCTCCAACTTATTTTTTCTGGCAACAAATCTCTATTAACAGCCACAGCTCCTTGGGTTCCACTTAAGGTACCATTTACAAAACTCCCCAGAAAAGCTGGTTTACTATATTGAATGAAAAAGAGACCCAGCCTACAATAAGTAGCTTCAAAAGGGAATTGTGTCTTGTTCAAAATGTCTGTTGGCTACAACTTCAATCAGCAAAACCCTCCGACTGGTGGTCAGAGTGGTTGTGCTGTGGAACATATAGCATGCAGCTCATGCCATGCCACCAAGGCTATGTCTAGACTGCAAGCCTCTTTCGAAAGAGAGCGTCTAGACTGCACGCTGAACTTTTGAAAAAGCAAGCCACTTTTTCGAAAGAAAGCACCCAGTGAGTTTGGATGCTCTCTTTCGAAGAAGCCCTATTTACATTCAAGAACGCCTTCTTTCGAAAGAGCACTTTCGAAAGAGCGTTCTTCCTCGTGAAATGAAGTTTACCGCCGTCGAAAGAAAAGCTGCGTTCTTTCGATTTAATTTCGAAAGAACGCGGCTGCAGTCTAGACACAGGTGAAGTTTTTTCGGAAAAAGGCTACTTTTTCCGAAAAAACCCCTGAGTCTGGACACAGCCCAAGTGGTTAAATAGTGCAACCAAGGCAAGGCCATGAGTATTTCTTATAGCACTGCCTTGCAAAATCAGCAATTGCACAGCGGGTTTTTCACCCTTCTGGAAAACAGCCCCCTCCCAAACACACACATGCAGTCAATGTCTTCCTCTTACCTTGGGTGGTTGATTCTGCTGGAGATACGTTCTGAAAGGCAGCTTCCCATTCTTCAAAGTTGAGCTGGGAGGACAGACTAATGGTACTCAAATTATAGGTCTTATTAGGGATCTTTAGTAAAGTCCCATCTGTGTTTAAAAAAAATCCTGGTTACTGCTAAGTGGTTTTTCTTTTTTGTCAAGAAAAAAATCCATTTGACACATTTCAGATTCTCAGCACTTTCTGGCTTGTACCTTCTGTCATGTAAAGTGTTGAAACTCTTACCAGTTTCAGGGAAGTGAGGAAAATGTGGGTTTTGTGCAAAACAAGAGCCTGATTTAAATATTAAACATTTATGCTGAATTCCTAGTTTAGGTATCAAGTATCAGAGGGGTAGCTGTGTTCGTCTGAATCTGCAAAAGTGACAAAAAGTCCTGTGGCACCTTATAGACTAACAGATTTATGGGAGCATCTGACGAAGTGGGTCTTTGCCCACAAAAGCTTATGCTCCAATAAATCTGTTAGTCTAAGGTGCCACAGGACTTTTCATCACTAGTTCAGGCATGTGAGGAATCAATCACTTTTAATATCCAGCTAGATTTACCTAGGCATGTTAACACAAATTCACAATAGCATGAAAGGAGATGAGGTCTGAGTCGTCTCCCCTTTCTGAGGAAGGAAAAGTCTTTTTTCACGGTCATAGCAATTAAGGCTAAAAGGGACCACCAAGTCAGCCAGAAACTAGTTCTGAAACTCAGTGCAGCATAAGACTGTCACAGCATGAGCCCAGAGGTTTCTTAGCCTGAAAAATGGGACTTGTGTTCAGTAACGAAATGCTCAAGGAGGTTGTGGAATCTCCATGTCTGGAGACAGGGGCAGATGATGGTTTTGCGGGGCCCCGGGCAGCATACTTCCGTGGGGCCCCCCTTTGCCACGGCGCATGCGCAGCGGCGCCATGGCGCATGCGTGGGGCTTTCTGAAGCGCGGGGCCCGGGGTGGCCGCCCCGTTCGCCCTGCCGTATATCCGCCCCTATCTGGAGATATTTAAGAGCAGGTTGGACAGACACCTGTCAGGGATGATCTAGATGGAGCTTGGTCCTGCTGTGAGGACTTGATGACCTCTTGAGGTCCCTTCCAGTTCTAGGATTCTATGACATAGGGGTAAAACTCTTCTCAGTGGGACTATCCCTACTCTGCACCTACCCTTTCAAGAGACAGTGTGGAGTTTACAACCTAAACAGCCGGGTGCAATCAAGAAGCACCCTGCCCTGCCCTAGGGCTATATATAAATATGGAAAGGAAGTTGAGTGAGAGAGGGCAGGAACCAGAAGTGGTGCTGGTGATGCCATTTACTCCTTTCCTTCGTCACCAGATCTAAGCCTGAGAGACTTTGTTTTCTGATTGTGTTTGGTTACTGTTTGGTTACTCTCACTCAACCCTCTGAAGTAAGGGCTTTCTGAACTTAAATGGCTCCTTCCCTGATGTGCTGGCTAAGGGAAAGGGAGACAGCCAGCCTGCTTGCCTTCTAAAACAATAGATGACTGGAGCTGGCCTGGAGACCCTCTGAAGGCAGGAAGGTTTGGGGGTTTTATGTGTGTGCGGAGGGGGTGTCTTGGTCTCCAATTTCTTGGATCTTGGGCCCTTGCCTTTGAGTTTTTCATTTGCTACCAGGGTTTTCTTTTTTAACTTTGTGGTAGCATTGAAGACATCTACTATATATTTGAGAGTTTGTCTGTCCATGAGCAAGTGAACCTGTCAGTCTGTTTGTTCAAGAACCTCTCCTAAACAGTAAGAGCTAGGGCCACCATATTCGGTAGGCAGCTTCCTCTTATCCTAACTTAAAGCAAGGTCAGGGTTTGGCTGGACCAGGGCAATGGGATGTTTCTGGAATGTGATTGTTTTTCATAACATGGAAAGGGATGGGGCTGCTGGCAGGGACAGTTATATGGTATAATGACCACAGGGGGCAGCAAGGGGTCAAAGATGAGGACTGGGACAGCTATAATCGTATCAGGGCAGCAGGAGGCAGGGGGAAGTAAGGTTCCTGTGCTGGTATTGGGCATGGTTGGCTCGCTCCTACTGTTTTGGCCTCCATCAATAAGAGCTGGAGCCCAAACCACTTCCCCAACCCCGCCTCAGCCCCAACGCCAGACAACATTGGGTGGGAAAGCGAGGCCCGTACCCTGGTGAGCCCGAGCGAGCACCCACAGCCCCTGTGCAGCCTCAGTGCAGCCAAGCTGACGCCTCAGAGCTCAGGCTGCCAGGCAGCCCAGCCCTGGCCAGCATGGGGAGCCGGCAGCCAGGCAGCATGGCCCCCACCTCAGGCCTGGGGAGCTGCTTGGTGGCCACACTCCCTACCCCCAGCCCCCTCATCCCAATCCCCTGCCCTATATCCCCCCTCACCCAATTCCCCTGCCCTGACACCTGCATCTTCCACATCCTGCCCTGGCTGTTGTGGTGAGAGAGGGCTGGGATTTTCCTCTTCCCCCACCCCCACCCCCGAGCAATGATTTAAATTAAGAAATACAAAAAATAATTTGAGTTAAGGACCCGAGCAACGAGTGCTTCAATACATGATCAACTCCAAAGCCCCAGCCAGCAAATACACACTGACTAAGATCCATGTTACATGTTAAAGTCATGCTGAGGGACTCATTAGTACTCTAGCTACCCGTGATTTGATGAATGGGGGGGAGGGGGGGAATGTGTAGGCTCTAAGCAGGACTACCCAGGATATAAGAGGGAGATATAGCTTACTACATGACTGGAAAGTGTAGCTGGGGTTTGCTGTTCTCCTTTGTGAGCCTTACCAAGCTTGGTTGTTGAAGTTGCTTTGTTACTGAATCTAGGACACCCAGGGCGCATTAGAAAAGATCTCTGTAATTCCTTCACCTGAGGTTCATACTCAGACTCGGAGAAGCCAGCAGGTCTGAGATCAGCCTGGCAAATAGGAGGAAATGAGATGTAAATAAGATCTATGACGTGACAACCACAAAACCCACCTGACAGGCAGCTCACCATCCGAGCCTGACCTGCAAAGAGCTGAGTATCTTCAACTCCCTTTTGAAGTTGGTGGGAGTAGAGGGGGCTCAGCGTGTTTTAGGCAGCACTTAGTCTACTGCAGGATCAGACCCTGGAAAAGATGGACTGTGCTGGCAGATGGACTGTGCTGGCCGTTACAGCCCTGCTCACAGAGCACTGCAGGGAAACCGCTGTTAGAACATACGAATGGCCATACTAGCCCAGTGTCCTGTCTGCCGACAGTGGCCAATGCCAGGTGCCCCAGAGGGATTGAACAGAACAGGGAATCATCAAGTGATCCCTTCCCTGTTATCCATTTCCAGCCTCTGACCAACAGAGGCTAGAGACATCATCCCTACCCGCCTGGCTAACAGCCATTGCTGGATCAAACCCCCATGAATTTATCTAGTTTGTTTTTGAACCCTGTTGAAGTCCTGGTCCTCACAACTTCCTATGGCAAGGAGTTCCACAAGCTGACTGTGTGTTGTGTGCAGAAGTAGTTCGTTGTGCTTGTTTTAAACCTGCTACCTATTAATTTCATTTGGTGAGCCCTAGTTCTGGGAACAAGTGAATAACTTTTCCTTGTCTCAGAGGCGTAGCCACGCTAGCTTGTAACTTTAAAAATGAGTAGTACTGTGGCACCTTAGAGACTAACAAAAGTATATAGTATCATGAGCTTTCATGGGCAAAACCATTTCTCAAACTCATCTGAGGAAATGGGTTTTGCCCATGAAAGCTCATGATACACTATATATATTGTTAATCTCTAAGGGTACGTCTAGATTACATGGCTCCATCGACAGAGCCATGTAGATTTGTTTGTTCGGCAAAGGGAAATGAAGCCGTGATTTAAATAATCGCAGCTTAATTTAAATTTACATGGCTGCTGCGCTGAGCCGACAAACAGCTGATCAGCTGTTTGTTGGCTCAGCGCGCTAGTCTGGACGCTCCCCTGTTGACATGAAAGCCCTTTATCGACCTCCCCGGTAAACCTCATCCTACGAGGCATAACGGGGAGGTCGATAAAGGGCTTTCAGGTTGGTGCGGGATCGTCCAGACTAGCGTGCTGAGCCGACAAACAGCTGATCAGCTGTTTGTCAGCTCAGCGCCGCAGGCATTT